ATATATATATATATATATATTCCGGAAAGCAGCGGCCACGTTTTATTCTTTATTCATGCAGACTGGATGCTTAACAGACATACTCCGTATTATGCAAATGCAAAATTCTTCATCTAGAAACAATCCCGTATTAATACTACTATGCTTCATTCGTGCACGCTCAACGCTCTATCCATTATGCACAGATATTAAATAAGAACAGCCCAAATTCGCATTATGCAAATCTCAGACGAGTGCTTACGCATTGCGGCATGCAGACCCCATTTTTGAAAGAGTTCTAAAAATAAATGCAACTCACGGTCAAGGTCCGATGTTCTCTTGTCTCGTAGATAGGTGACAGGTCCCTCATGATCAGGAACACACACAGGAAAATCCTCCTTGAATACTGGACAGGCACACAGGATACCCGATAGATCCTCCAAGAATTTGGACAGGAACACAGATCCTCCGAGAATTTGGACAGGAACACAGACAGGTCCCACAGCACACACAGGAACATGGTCAGGTACAGTCTCGGCTTCCCATAACCTAGGGTGTAAAAGAAATGAACAGTCAGAAAAATCACATGCCAAATTTACATACGCGGATACACCAATGTTTACAATATTCAAATAGCATGCATCTATCATATTCTTTAATAATATTCACACCATTTGTTCTAAAACCTGCTTTCCTTGGGGGAAGAGCACATTGTTAGTGAGGCAAAAGAAGAGCAGTTATTAACAAACAGTGAACAAACATACATTGTGTGTACATGTAATAAATCATAACCAAACAACAATCACATGAAAATACATCTCAAACAAAAAGAGATACATCACATAAGGTATCACAATCCAAATAACAACATAATAATATGCATCTCATGTTGACATGCATTAAATTACTATCTTAGGTACAAAATCATCAGAGTCAACAACACATGAATTCATCAGTTCATGAAAATTGAAAAACAGATCAAGCTCATATGCACAAAAATAAAACAGTATTTTGGCAATAAAAGAGGTAAACAGCATATCTAATGTACTCAAGAAGTTAATTTAATAAGTAAGACTGTTCTGCAAAGGCAATTATAAAACAGTATGATAATTTCAAATAACGCCAAGTGAGAAATCCATCTCAAAGTTATTAAAGAGCAGCTCATAATAATATGATGACTAATGCACTGGCACATAAATCTGAAAACATTACATTTCATAAAATATGGTGTCAAACAAAAGTGATAAAGAGCATACATGTATGTACAGTCATGTTACAAATATTCACAAACATGAAATCTGAGTACTGTGCATGGTTCTAAATTCACATGATGAATAGAATTAATACTCAAAAAGTTTGACAATACATGTAAATCACACATTTTTACCACATATCAAGTACTTCATATAATTTCTGAACACTGCCAAAAAAATATGGTGAAAAAAATGTGTCATATGTCAAATACCCATGTATGTACTTATGTACAAGTATCAAATAAACCATCATCATCACATGCAAACATCAGTCAATGAAACTGTCATGATTTCATTTTAACAATCACTGTAACGTTACACATGCAATTGTATCAATTGCAACTACATTGTACATTTAACTACGGTACCTCAGAAAACATTCCCCTGGTTTGGGGCCCCTTGATACCTTGAGAATACCTTGAGAAACCCTCAGTGTAGAAGGCTATCAGCCTGTAGTCACACTCTCCTCACTCTAGGTATTTTCTCTTGCTCCAACAGTCGTCCTGTCTCGTCTTAAAACTGTTGATGATTCAGAATCTGGAACAACATAAATGCATATGAGCTTCAGTACACAACAGCGAACAACACTATTTGTCCTGACCTGTTCCAGACCAAAATACCGCATCTCTTACAGTTCTTTAAGCCTATGGTGAATCCTCGGTGTCTTTCTTACTGACATATTTACCTTCCTGGGATATCCGGGATATGTTGTTGTTGTATATGGTCTTCGATACATGAACAACTCTGTTACCGCCCCCCTCCCCACTCAAACTTACCAGTCGTCTGTCTCCCCTCCTTCCAAATTCACCTTGTCCAGGTCATCCTCTGCACAGACGACGCTATTGTGTCCCTCCTATCTGCTTCTGGCCTTGGAACACTTTTGTTTTACATCGAAACGCAAAGAATTTGACCAAAACACGCAGGACAACAACACTGAACCACGTTTCCCACAGAGATTTTCAGGTCGGGGGTCACGTGTGCATGGTAGTCTAAAAGCGCCCCTTAGCGGCTGATTTACAAAGTGCACCTCTTAAGATCGGTGTGTTGTACGGATTGACATTCGGTTGGCCTTGCGTCAGTGTGTGCGTTATTCACGCTTTAAAATAAATCATTATGATAAAATGCTTAAATATACATCATTAACGTTAGGATTACGGCGACTGATACCAAAATAAAGTCGTCAAAATTTCTATAAACGAAAGATGAGTTTGACATAGAGCACTATTACTTATGCTACTAAGTATGTAGTGTCCGTACAACCAACGTTTTCATCCAGTATTTTTCGTAAACCTTCACGAAAGTGTACTTCTATTTCAGGATCATGGATTTCACCATCAATGAGTAGTAATTCATTGACCCATGTATTGGTGGCTATGGTGCTAAGTACCTTTTTATCCTCCTTGCAGATACATTCACTGGACCACACAGATGCGCCCCCCAGCGGTTACTTAACTTGGTGCAGCGTTAACTCGTAGGAACAGTTGCCGCAACATATTTTCGAATTTCTGTCTTTTTGCTTCATTTAACTTATATGAGATTTATCTACAATAGTCCAGAGGGTATCAACGACAACTTAAAGTACAACTTACCACCAAAACGGGCGTGGAGCGTCTTCCTGGGCGGATTTTTTACCAGCTCGTTCTTCCCTTGCGTGCACACTGGCCATCTTGGAACGGCGTGGTTCACGCACATGTGCTTGTGCCACCTGTAAATCATGAGAAAAATTTGAATTTCGATAATCAAGTTAACTTAATCAAGATTATCAACAGGCCAATAAACAATCATCACACATGCAGCCCTGAAAACTACGATGATTTAATCATAGCTTTTCTTAAAAATTCTCAATTTTTCTACCCTCATCAATAAACTTCGCAGATGGAAAACAGTTTTTGCTGTTTCTCCTTCCTTTTCTCCTAAAATATGGTTAATGACCAAGACCAGACGTCTGTCACCATGGTAACTGGTGTTGCATTACACAGTGTTGCAAGTGCCATGTGGAACTGAGTTTAAGAGGGGCGACGGTACGAGAGTAAGAATCTCACTTAAGTGTTTAACTTTAAGTAAACAGAGCAGTAGTTTGTTAAGCTGGGCCATGTGTAGGTAAACATGATGCCTTTGCATTGAAAATGTTACCTTTCTAGTTCAGGAAGTTTTTTACCGGTTTCTTGTATATTTTTCACAATATAATGCTGAGTTTTTAACTCAGCATTACACGCCCTATTAGGGCCTAGTCTACATTTTGTAAGTTGATAAAATCATATAAGGAAATATTTCCTAAGTCATCCATTTCATGTTCATATGATGAGCTGTATATATCTAATAACACTAATAAGAATGCAGAAAGTGGAAAAAATGAATAAACACAGAATCTCAATGACAAATGCAAAATGTTCTTGGACATTATTCTTTATTCCTCTTTGTAAGGGATACATTTTTGCTAAGTGACCATTAAACTTATCTAACAATATTCCACATCTCCATATACATCCAATACTATTAGTATTACTTATGTCTGCTTTTTCTGTTTTGCAACAAGCATCACTTTTAAAGTTGGTGGGTTGGCATTCAAGGAAAATGTACTGCATGTTACGATTGGTTAAAGCTACAAATAAGAAGCCAATCAGCAGCAAGCTTTGTACAAAGGACATTGGATAGTACTTTGAAAAACGTCCTTTGATTAGATATCATAATCACGTGACATGTAACCCTCTCTGTGATTGGCTCACCTTTAAAGGCATATCTATCCTGAGAAATAGTTGATGGTTTGCACAGCAAAGAGCAAGCCTGTAGCTAGCATTTCATTGGCTTTTTGAAAGTCACGTTATACGTATCTCAAGCTGTGATTGGCCAATATGATCATTTAAATCAAACTGACTCTTACAGTGACACCAATGAAACTAAGTTGCTATTTCAAAATTCATATTGTACAACAAAGATGATCACTGTTGAAGCTGAAGTTAATCTTAGCCCTAACATAGATTTCATAATCTATCTATCTCCCCAAAGTTTCATTGCGATTACATGTATGTGGTGATGAGTTATGTTGGACAAAACTCCCCCTTTTGGTTCACACATGAAGTGCACTTTCAAAGGAATGAAACACTTTTCCTTGGAATAAATTAACTTTCAAACTTTCTCACTGCAGTTTCTATGAATTCTCCACCAATCTTTTATAGACATATTTCTCCCCTATCAACATCAAATTACAGCACAGTCTTCTTCATAGTTACATGTACAATGTAACCCACCTACATGTAAGACTTCCTGCAACTATCAGACCCTGAGGTTTCTTAACCTTCTTCCAGCTAAGAACACCTTTTGGCATCAAATCTGTATTGATTATGGGATTAGGCGGCAGGAAGAAGGTTAAAAAATCCAACAGTCAATCTTCTAAAACATCAACGGACCACTAAATTGTTGAGAATCGAGCCCAATCTTTTTGTACAAATTCTATGGGCAATGTTGGATGACGGGAGCCAGTTGTTACTATGGTAACGGTTGCTAGGCAGTGATCATGCGGCGGACCATGTAGTTGAGAATGCCGCCATGGCGGAAGTAGGTCAACTCCACAGGAGTGTCGAAACGCACCACGGCTTTGAACGTCCGCTCTCTACCATTCACCTAAAACATTGAGAGAGAAAACATCCAGAAATTATTTTTATGTTTACCTTCGCAGAAGGAAAACGTACATGTATTGTTTTTGTTTCTTCTTCTGTTCCAAACAAAAAGGTCAATGACCTGGACTAGACACCAGTCACTATTGTAACTGATACTGTAGCAGACACACTGTGGTGTTGGATTACATTAAGCAGCAAGTGGTTGGACAGATTTGGAGGGGCTGGCCACCATATGCATAACACAAAAACAGAGAATATGAAAACAGAAGGCATTGACTTCGAATATATCGACTCCCAAAAACATTGTATTCAGTACCAAGTTACAAAGTGTCTGACTTTCCCACAATGGTTTCGTGATTTTACAGTGTGTGAACAAATAAACTGTTACCTTAATGTCAATGGTCTGTCCAGGTTGGATGTCGTCAGCTAGCTGGATGGTGAAGCGCTCTTTCCCGGTAAGACCGAGAGACTCGGCGGTTTCCCCAGACAGGTACTGTAGCGGGATGATGCCCATCCCCACCAGGTTACTCCTGTGGATCCGCTCGTAACTCTCAGCTATCACCGCCCTGATGCCCTGGGGAACAGACAGAAAATCTCAATGAAAATTCCAACAGAGTGTTTGGCTCAGACCCAAGAGGTCCCGGGTTCGAATCCTGCCTGATGCCATTGATCTTGTGCCCTTGGGAAAGGCACTTTACACAACTTTCCTCACTTCACTCAGGTGGAAATGAGTACCTAGCTTTGGTTAGGAACGTCCCTCGGATAGGACGTTAAATGGAGGTACCATGTTTGGGGAGAGCCACACTTGAAAAGAGTAGCTAGGGGTCCTTCCCAGTTTGAGTGGTTCAAACAATTACAGTCTGGTCTTACGAAGCTTGTACTTATGTAAAAAAAACTGGTGTGTTACGCCTAAAAAGGTGGTTTACCAGTTATGGGAAGCTAACAAACAAACAACTATTACTCACTAGCTAGTATCATGTTAGACTTTCCACTGATGATCAAGAAAATAAAAATTAAACAGTATCACATTTCGTAAAAAAGGCTGATTTGATTTTGTGCCAGCTTACCTGCATCCAAGGCCCCTTAGCAGCCCAGTCCCTAGACGACCCAGAGCCGTACTCCTTCCCTGCCAGGATGATGACAGAATGGCCTTCTTCACGATACCTCACCGCAGCATCAAACACATCCATCTACGCACAGGAAAAAAGGCTTATAAAACAAACACACACATGAATACAGGAGGCAATGTGGTCTTTACATCTTAGGGTTGTTGATTTTGAACCTAGAGGTTCTGGGTTCAAATCCCTAACAGGAACAGTATCAAAATATTTTAGAAAAGGCCCTTTGCACTATTTCCTTGTTTGACTCAGAAACTGAGAACCTAAAAAACACTGGACACACACTAAGTGTGCCTCATGTGGGCATATTAAGCGCTAACCATTAATGTCAGAAATATGAGATAATTGCACAAATATGTTGAAAAGTGGGAGCACATTAAAATGAAGATTTTTTCAATCAAAATATGTCAGTTTTTTTCAGCAAAAATGTTACAATGTGTCCCTTAAAAGTAGCCAATGATTGGAACAGCCAACTTGAAGTACTTACGGTATCTCCGGAGGGTACGTGGTGGGTTTTTGGAGCAGCTTTGCCGATGAATTTGTTGAGGAGGCGGATGTTGGCGAACGTTCCCCTCGCCATCACGGCATCGTTACCACGCCGACTGCCGTACGAGTTGAACTCCCGCGGCGTCAAGCTAGAGAAAAATAATCCAGCGTTAAATTTCATTTGCTCCGAATCAAGTAATTCTTTGTAGCTGTCATCCTAATCACTTGCTAGCAAATGCAGCATATTTCCTTTCCATTTTGAATGTTACTAGACGTAGCAAAATTTCCTCTCTGGCAATTTGAAAACGAAACAAAACTGTCCTCCTAAACTGTAGAAACAATTTCAAAATGTTTGGCTGTCATGTATTGCCATCATTGGCCAGAGGGTCCTTATGTAAAGGTGGTCACCAGTACAGGTTTGACTGTATATAAATGACCAGGGGGTACTTATATAATTATGTAGAGGCTGTCACTAGTAAAGGTTTGACTATATCAATGGCCAGATGGTCAGTATGGGTTGCACTATTTTAATGACCAGATGGTCCTTATACAGGGGTGCTCACAAGCACTATAACAGGTCTGACTGTACAGTGATTGTTCCCTGTATAAAAAAGCAGAACTGAAACTCGTAAAACTGACCCCTTGCTGGCGAGGTATCGCGCAGCAGGACTGTTCCGAGCGATACTGCCGGCTGGTGAGATGTGGTCGGTCGTTACCGAGTCTCCCAGGTTTAGCAACGCAAAGGCATCTGTGATTGGCTGAAGTGAAGGGATCTCTGCAGTCTGTGATAAGAAAAAATAAATTATCAACTAGAAAGGTAACATTTGCAAAGCAAATGCATAATGTTTACCTTCACATGTGGTCTTCTCTGTTAATTCCTACTCAAACACATTCCAAAGTCTAAAACCTACTATTAAATTGCAACATGATGTATACCAACACTACATGTAGTTACCATGGTGACAGACGTCTGGCTTAGGACTGGTCATTAACCTTATTTGAAGTACGTACCATCTCTTCAAAGAAGGGGGGAGACTTGATGTAGGTTGACTTGGGGTCCCAGGGGTAGAGTTGTGCATCTGAAGCTTCAAGGTTGTTCCAGGCTTCATTTCCATCCTGTAGTTACAAAGGTAGAAGAAAAGTTAAAAGTAGTCTTCCTCAACTGAGGTAAGGCCTTGGGCTTTTTTCCTCTTGCTAGTTAAATAGTACAATGTATACCTTCGTAACACTAACAGATATTTCAAGTGTGTAAGATAATACAAACATCTATTTCTTCATATTACATTGTACATCAAGTAGCTATAATTTGAGACCATTTAAACTTATTTATGTCTCAACAGTAACTGTTTTCAAGAACAATTCCTTGTCATGTCTTATATTTAAAAGTTCAATTTTTACTTCACTGATATAGCAAGGCTTCTAAAAACTATATTGATGGATGAATACTTTTCTGTGACTTGAGGCTGCTATGAAATATCAGTAAATTCAGGACTATAGACTGACATGAAACGTCTGTTTCCAAAATCATATCCAGTTGCTTGAGTAACTGTTTTTTGGCGTATAAACTGACCTGTATCCTGGCGTAGACGTCCTTGAACATGGCAGGTACGACATTCTTTCGCTCCACCTCTTGGATTTCCGCACGTGTCGGCCAAACGTCACGTAGGAAAATCTCCTTACCATCCGCTGTCTTCCCTGGTGGGTACATGGAGGGAATTAACCCTTAGCAAGCTACATTTCCAGTGTTTAACCATGAATTAATTGCGTGGGGAAAGCTATAGTTTGATGAATGTTAACAAACATGCTTTTTTCACATTTCTTTTTGAACAAAAAGTTGCTCTCATGCAGAAGAGTTGTAGCTGTAACTTTCTCATTTTTTTAATGGAAAATTGTGTAACATTTTCTGTGATTTTTTATTAAAATTCCAACTACTATTTAGTAGTATCATGCTGGGTTTTAAAAAGAAACGATGAAGAGTGAATAAACAATTAAGTGCACAATTTATAATGTTGACATGCATTTAAGTTTGTTTACTATTACTTAAATGTTTTAGGATCCAAAAACATGCTTTAGCTGAAACAAAAAACACTTTAAATCCTCTTTCCCCTAAACCAAATTAAAAGAGAATTCAAATGTCTACTTCAGTGTAATTTAACACTGTAAAGCCTTAAGTTTATTCAACAGCTAAACTTAAACAAGGACAAAACAAAAAAACAGTCAACAACTGTATGTTGGAATGTTTTACCGAGTGGTTCAGTCTCGAAATCGATGCTGACTGTCCCGGCGATAGCGTACGCGATGACCAGCGGGGGGGAGGCCAGGTAGTTTGCACGGGTTAGGGGGTGGATACGCCCCTCAAAGTTCCTGTTTCCTGACAGAACACCGACTGCAACCAAGTCTCCCTAGAACGGGAATGTAAAGAACAAAAATTCAATCAGAACATTGCTGATTACAAAAGTTTTTTACATACTAACCACTGTTAAATTGTGGCAGTTTGTTTATATTCTGTGTCGTGTCTTTTTTCATATTAGGGAAATACATGAATGTACTTCTAGTTTGTGTAGTCCAGTGGTTAGGTACCCTGGACCAAGAGGTTGGGAGTTCGAATCCTGGCATGGAAGCTCCTGGGGTTGCAGTTCTTAGGACGGGACATTTTCACGCTTAAAAGCTGTGGTCCACTGTTCATTGAACTTGTCGAAAAGAGCTAGGGGAATTTCCCAGTAAAATGAACCTGTAAATGCTGTCTTCTCTGTCATCATTAAAAGAACATTATTTGCAAACAGTCAAGGTACTTTTTTCACCTTTTTATGAAGTTTCTACATTCAAATGTATGTCATTGACAGATTTTTCTATATCACTAGGTGTGAATAGATCTGCGTCCTTGCTTTTTATAGGATCATTTCTAATATTCTTTTTTGTTAATGTTTTTACCTTTTCCACAGCTTCAGCCACTGGTTCAGGTAGAGGCCCACTGTTCCCTATACAGGTCATACAGCCATACCCAACTATGTCAAACCTGGAGAACACACAAAATTACATATACAAATCATGAACTTTCAAATCTGATTCAAATCTGAGTAATAAACCACCAGGAACAAAAGTTCAAAGAACTCATACTTCTGTGAAATATGTTTCTCAAACGTCTTTTTTATTTGCAGTTCTTTAATTATGTAAATAATGTTTCAGCTGTATTAATTTCTAGTGTTATATATTGGTTTTCGGTCCTGTAAAATTTGCTACATCAAATGGATGCTGGCTACAGCCCTGCCTTAGTCTTCTTCTACCCTAGTTTTAACAAAAGCACCAAACTTTTGAAGAAACTTACCCTAGTTTCTGTAGGTATGGTGTGACCCCACTCTCCTGTAGATAGTAGGTAACCACCCCACTACCAGGAGACAGGCTGGTCTTGATATATGGCTTCACTGTCAGACCAGCCTCTACTGCTTTCTTGGCAAGAAGTCCTACAGAAAAATAAAACAGACAATTCTTGAACATTTTGAAACTAATTCAGATGTAAGTGAACATACTGTAACTTGCCTCTTGTCTATTTTATGATAATTTTTACAAGCTACAAAGCAAAAGGGTCCAGGGCTCAAAATTAAAGGTGGTCCAATGGCCACTGACCACTAAAATTTAGGCTGGGACAACTAAAAAGACACTTTGGGACATTTCTGGGACAGTAGAAAAATAATCAACATGATTATGTCAGCCCTTCTTTTGCTTATCAGGCACACGTCTCGGTTTTTGGATCCGGAAAAGTCCCCCCGAATTTCCTGTCTACTCTGTAATTATAGTGTGCCTGGGAGTGAACATAAGCAAAATAAAGTTCACTTCAAGTTGAAGTCATACAATACTTCCCAAAAAGGGTTGGGACAGTTCATCCTCACTTGGGTCCAATTGAAATTTATTTTTGGGACAGTGCTGGGACAATAGGAAGAAAAGTTAATTTCGAGGCCTGAGGGTCATTTTCGTCATTTACAGCAGCTTTTACCGAATCTGCACTTCACTTCACGACTGCTAGGAGGTGCTCATGACTGCGAGACATTTAGTCACGTTTACTTACCTTCTGTTTATCATATATCAATTTCTCACAAGCTACATCTAGCAAAAGACTCATCTTCATCATTTACAGCAGCTTTTACCGAACCTGCACTTCGCTTCAGGACTGCTAGGAGGTGCTGATGACTTACCAGCGCCCAGCATGACGGAGGGGTTACTGGTGTTGGTACAGCTGGTGATAGCGGCGATGACCACGCTGCCGTGACTCAGCGTGTACTCCGTATCGTTGTACGTGAAGGGGATCGCGTTGGGCTGTTTCTCCTTGGGGATGGCGAAACCCTTGAAGCTGACCTTGTTGTCCAGGCACTGTTGGAAGTCCTGCTTCATGTCCGAGACAGGAACGCGGTCGTGCGGGCGTTTGGGACCGCTCACAGACGGCACCACGGTAGCCAGGTCCAGCTCCACTATCTGTGGTAAAAACACAGAAAATTTAACTTCAAGCAGTCTCTTATTAAACAAGTCGAAGATTTCATACCTCCACAAAGTATTAAGTAACTGTACCAAAATAAAGCAGGAAGAAAGGAAGTATCTTACCTCACTAAAGGTAGGATCCTGGTCTGAGTTGTTGTAGTCCCTGTACATCTTACATGCCTTCAGGTACGCTTCAATATACTCAAGCTTCTTCTGGTCACGATCTATCAAGGGTTATAAATATCTGATAAACATTTCATCCTTAGGGATATATCAATGTGGTGTTGCAATACATGAATGTGCCAACCTTGAGTGCAGCGAAGAGACTCACGTCGTGTACATTTTCGTCTACAGGTATTATAGTGGCTGAGGTATAGCTCAAAATATGTATAGCAGGATATTGAAGACAGGAAACGAGTCATGTTTGGGATTGTGTTCTCACCGCAAAAGCACTAATTATTTTGGCTACATATAGCAGAGTATTCCAGTCAGGAGCTCTGAGGAAGGTGTCTGATAGGGCCTAGGAAAAGAAATGTTGTGTTTCCTGTTTCCCGACCAACCTTTCAGAAAAATTGCAGACGCAAGCCTTTTTGCATGTGTGTGTGTGTGGACATAATTTTTCCTTGCTGATCAACCTTTTCTAATAGCTCCATGATCTGACACCTGAGTGATGAAACATTGCACAAGCAGTTCTCCAGCATTTACATTGAAAATTTAAGTGTCCTCATGCAAGTTTTTCTTTGCTAAACTTCATAATATAAGTTCACCTGGTCACTAGAGATAGTCAAAGTCTAAAAAAATAAAGAAAGAAAAGATAATCCCTACCTACCGACCCTAGCTTTTTCAGGACAGAAACAGGAAACACATTTTTCCTAGGATTAGACATCAAAATGTAAGCAAGGTGAGAGAAGTATAAGAAAATGTCAATATCTAAACAAACAAACAAACAATCTTACTGGTCTGTCTGAGATAGACCATGGACATGTCATCCACAGGGAAGAAGCCGACAGTAGCACCGTATTCAGGACACATGTTGGAGATGGTGGCTCGGTCAGCGATGGACAGCTGGGACACCCCCGACCCGAAAAACTCCACAAACTTGCCCACAACTCCAACCTGACGTAGATGCTAATAAGGAAGAAAAGTCACAAAATTCATTAATCTACCTATCTTTAATTCAAAATTAGCTATACAAAAGGCATCTACTAATTTTCAAGCTATGAATTCACATATCTGGTATAACTATGCCTTATCCTGTACCATTACAAAGTAAAACACAATTTTATTGACTAAAAAATTGCATCTCAAAGACAGTAACTTTGACAATTTAAAGGCAGTAAAATATTGTTTTGGGGGGATAAGAAGATCTGATGTAAAACAATTAACCACAAAAAAAAGACAGCTGGTGACTAAAATCTTGGCCAAACTTCCTCAGGTACAGGTACAAGTACAAGCCTCTACCGAAACCCCAGGGTGTACCTGAAACTACCTAAAATTGGTTTAGGTACGCAGCTCTAATAGAAAAGCATCATCATAATATATTACCTTGGTAATGGTCAGTACTACATCGGTGGAAGTGACCAGTTGATCCAGCTGTCCAGTTATCCTGTAGCCCACAACTTGTGGTAGCACCATGGAAATCGCCTGTCCCAACATCACAGCCTCTGCCTCGATTCCTCCCACACCTTGTGTGTTAAAAGCACACTCTTTACTACTTTCATCTTTGACACCTACATGTACATTTGTAGTTGTAACATACACTGTTTCTACAGCTACATAAATACATACATTGCAAAAGTGTTTCAATTCAATGGTAAGCAAAAGTAATTTTGCATCATTCAATTCGAAAGGATTCTTTTACAATCTATGGCTTAATCTTACTGTTAAAAAAATTTCCCTAAAAAATACTTTTACTAGTTCTACCTTGTTCCTAGATGTGCCTATACTCACCCCATCCCAGGATGCCTAGCCCATTGATCATGGTGGTATGGGAGTCTGTGCCCACCAGACTATCAGGGTACAGGGTACCGTCCGTGTTGAAGACGACCCTTCCCAGGTACTCCAGGTTCACCTGGTGCACGATACCGGATCCAGGCGGTACGATCAGCATGTTTTGCAGCGCTTTGGCACCCCACTGTGGGCATGTAAAACATAAGTTTAACATTTCATAACGCACTTAATTAATAATTCCATTGTATATTGCTAGACCATTTGAATTACTAGAAAACGAAAAAAATTCTAACACCCCACTGAAGAGATATAAAATATGAGGTTAACATTCAACAATATAATTATATTTATAAAGTAGTATACTGTAGCAATTCCATTGCTAGTAGTACTGATAGGTCATTTGAATTACTATGAATTGGGAGGATGTAAGGACTTTGGCTAAAAAAAATTCTTCTGCAAAGCTTAATGGTATGAGAAATATAGCAATTGGCAAAGGAAAAGCAAAGAACGCACTTGCATTTTTCCAACTTAAATTACACAATTCTTTTTTCATCTAGACTTTTTATTCGACTATGATATGAAACCACCCAACCTTAAGAAACTGGAAGCGTTCTTGGTTCCTCTGAAACTCCAACTTCTGGTTCTGGCTAAGGGCATCTTGGCTGGTTGGAAGACAAGAGAACAAATATGGTGACCATTCTTTGTTATGTGTCAAAAACGTGGCCTTGGTTAGATACACAAACTTTACTTTTCAAGGACATTCTTTGAATCAAAGACTTTGAATCCCTTGAAATCATTGAATCCCTTTCAATGGACAATATGCCAATTATTGTCTTTGATATATAAGCAAATGCCCTTTAATTAGCAAAGTTTGTTCTGCATTAGAAATAGTTTGTTAGTTTGCTTATGACATACATTGTACATGGCTGCAAATATAATTAGACTGTGCATATAGAAAGTGGCAATGGAAGATGGCATAGGTAAGCATCTAATATAGGAAGGGTAAGAAAGGGTTTTTCCAGATACTAGTTAGTGAAAAATGACTGCCTGAATATTAATATGGAGAGACGGAAGGTTATGGTAGCCACCATATGGAATGATATGGAATAAGACTTTTTTCCATGTCTTTCATGAAAGTAAATAAATGGAAAATCAGGAAAATATGCTTCCATGAACTTTTGGGGATCAGTATAAAAAAAAAGGTAAAAGAAACTGGCTGCCTAGCAATGCTAAGTGGGAAGCTGCTAAGCAAAATGGAAGCTGCTATGCAAAATAGCAGAGTGCTAGGAAGGTTCTAAATATGTTTGGTGACAGAAGGGCCAATTTCTGTCTCAACACTACCAATTACATATGACCAATTTTAGTTAACAAAAATACTTAATACGATTTTCATGATCAGAAAAAAATTTGGGCAAAACCAAGATCTGCACCCTTCCTAGTGCCCTGCTGTGTCTTGGAGCGGTAAAAAAAAAAAAAAAAACGGCACGAGAAGAAAATCTAAAAATAACTACCAATCCGTAGGCTGTTGATGAAAAGGACAAATTTCTTCTAGTTTTGGCAGGCCCGTGTTGAGACAGATATTGCACCCCTTAGCAGCACCCCCACAGGTTTTGGCTGGTACTGCAGCCTTTGCACGCGATGCTGTATGTCCCGGCCTAAGCCCTCCACCAGGGTTTGGTGTATTTCTTACTAAACTTGTGCTGTAGGGAGAGAAAGTCAGTACAGTACTTAGCTAAATGTATTTAGGATTGGGCTTCTCTAACCTTAGTATAGTTTAATATACTAATAAACATTCAGTAGCTGGTTTTCTCCCACAAAGAACATGTACTCTACAACAAGTTCTGAAAGATCTATTTCTTTCAATAAATTGAATGTTAACAAATTATTTGAGGAGCTTTTTTGAAGGCGCAAACTGTCAAAAGTTTTCAGCAACTTTATATGTTGAAAATATGCACTCTGTCAACGTAGTTTGATTTTCAACATTTTGGGTGACTGTCTACATGCCAAACAGTAAGAAATATTTCTATTCAAAAAGGTGACCACAGGCAGACAATATAAAAAAAGGTAATCATCGATCACAAGCAATTATTATAGGAGGGAAAAGATTATATCATTTATATATAATCAAAATGGGGGGGGGGGTTAGATCAAGAGATAGAACATGGTATGACTTCCACCAGTCAATTCAAAAAACATCAATAAAACATATTCCAAAGTTCCAACCTCAAAATTGATGTAATTAATATGTGGTGCACTTCAGTTTTTTTTTTTTTTACAGAGAGTTATTCTTTATCAACAAACCTGTAAAGATTGGCTTACCTCCTAGAAACGTCCACTTGTACAGAATGGTCTATAACTAAGTCAGCTGGACAGACTGGGTTGATTTTGGACGGGTCGCCTCCGAGCCGCTTCACCGCATCGCGCATGGCCGCAAAATCCACCACCGCGGGAACTCCCCTGGAATATAGTTATCAACTTAGAAATTATGTTTGTTGCTAGCAGGAACCATGTAGGTGGCTTTATACTATAGTCAGACTCAGAGTGAAAAAATTATAAAAAAAAAGATTGTGAAGTACATGTATTTACTTTGTTGCTTTATTCATTATTGTAAATTTTTCTCACTAATTCTGTGTATTTAGATACACTGTCACTTCCTCCCAATCTGTAGGGATACCATTTTGACCTCCAATTTGACCTTCCTGTCAATCTGTGGTTACACCATTTCCCTGTATTCAAGTAACTTACTATGGACACACAAACGAAAACAAAACCTTCATATACAGAGGTAACAAGTATGAAAAGGCCATGCACATTAGCAATCACAGCTTGAATAGTAGTGAACAACGAATGGCTCAAGTCTCACGTGAAGTCTTGTAGAATGACCCTTGCAGGCCTGAAGGGCACTTCAACCGCCTTTGTCTGTGCTTCTTCCCATGACAGAATGTTCTCCACATCTTTGGGGTGGACCTGGAAGTTGTCACAGTTCCGCACTGCCGACTCCAGAAGAACGCGTACGGAAAACGGCAGGCGTTCTATTGGTCAACAGAAATCACATGTTTGAATTAGTACAAGTACACCATGTGCCCACATGTTATGTTAGCCCTGTTTTTTTGTTTGTTTTAGGTACTGTGTTTTTTATTCAATGGTGAATCAAAATGTGCATATTTTCTACTTTATTGAATCATATTAAACAGTGATCACAACTGAATTATTCTCATGAACATAATACAACCAATTCTGATAATGTCTTAATTGTTAAGACATCTCACCGTATCTTGGATCGTTGAGCTTGAGAGGGTTGTAGTAAGAGAAGGACTCCCCTCCCATCTCAAGGGAGTCCATACACTGTTGGAAGGGGTGGGCTGGAAGAAAAATGACAAAAAGTCAGGATTATGTTAGTTTGTTATGAATCATCATCAATTTATGTCATGTATGAATAGTGTGCAACTACTCTAGAAGTGATATTCCAAAATCTTATTCAGTTGCTTGAGTAACTGTTTTTGGCATATCTTATTACCTGGATGTCTAACCTTCACCGACGTATTCTAGTAGTAATGCATCGGACATTAACACTTTATTTCAAACCCATGGGACCATTTACTACCAAAAAACAAGATAACCCAGAAAGATAGCACTGTTTATCACACCAAATCACATGATCGTGATGACCTGATAGATGACCTTCGAATAATAATGACACAGCAATCTGGATAAAGATCTGAATCTCAAAGTAAATGTGACATGCCCTTTGATTGGTCACAAGTCTGGGTCGTACCATTCTCTAGCCTATAATATTATTGGCAACCCTGATGTGTCAAATATCAATCAAGCATGTCAATCTTATACATCTTAAAACTAAGGCAAAAATATTATAACCATGTGTATTCTAGCTCCATGACAACAAAACAAGATACATTGTATTATGAATCAGTTCAACTGACAACTGTACGTTATGATACAAAAGACCCTTTTAAAACCTTAAAATACAACCATAAACGAAATTAAGTCTAAAATTTAAGAAATCTGTGCGATCTACGTTTTCTAGTCTAACCGGTTTTCGTAGAACGTAGAGGGATTTTTCTAGAGCCTTCCGGCCTTAGTTGACGCCCCTTTTTAATTAATTCAAAGAACCTGTGACTTAAACATCGTATGATGTAACAGTTGCCTTCTTGTGAACTTGAGACAGTACTACGTGGTCTACGTGACAACTGTGTCTGCTTATAACGGCATAAATACCTTATTAACATTCGCCAGTCAATATTTTTAACCCCTGCTAGATCGATTTACGTAAGTCAGGAAAACGTATGTCTCGTTTTCTGCTGAATAAAATCGCTAGGCCTCCACAAATAACACCAGTGAATCTTTAGTCGTATTCTGACACAATCTAACTGTTATTTCTGTGTCAAAAATGTTCGTAAAGTTGTCATTTTTTCTGTCAAAAATCAAAGAACACTTTCACCTACCTGGGTCCGCCATCTTTCGGGCGAAGTTTTGCACGTAAGCTTGTAGCGGAAGTACCTGGACACGAGACTAAATTTGCATAAAAGCAAGGATTCTGATTGGTGGAAATGACGTTTCCTGGGAACAAGAGTACGGGGTGTGACAAAATGGCTGCCTCCGTCCGTAGGTGAACTTCTTACGCAAAAGTCCTTCTACTTTTAGAGACATTTCTCGTCCTTACGTCCATTTTCGGCGAGTTCAGCGCTTGGGTGAGTCAGAGGAGGTTGTATTTGTGAGTATTTTCTATTTGATCGCTCTCATGCTGTCGTTTTAGGCGAGAGATTTGACCACTAGGATCAAGTACACAAATCGCGAAAAAAAATGATCGGCCGGCTTGGCCCGGATCCATCTGGATTGATTTGGTAAAAAAGGAAACAAAACAAAACAGACTTGTTGCATAAATTTGATGATGACTTGAGTTGCAGTTGGGTAGATCTAGAATAGAAGTGCTACTAGAGGTCATAGCTTTGACCAGATCTGTTAACTTCAACTGCATAAGATTTGATGTATTTATAATTTGTAAAGCCACTTGTTCGACACAACAGTGTTGTGCAAAAATTATGGGTCATAAAAATTTATGTCCAGAAAAGTATCGTGTAATATTAATTTCCTTACAATTCTAAGGTTTACGATGACATATGTTGTCTTATTATAATAATTGTTTTGGGGCCTGTTTTGGGTCACGCCAGACCACAAGAAGACATTCTACTACTTAGTTGTCTATTCGTTATCCTGTCATGTTTCAAATTAATTAGCTTTCACACTATGGACCTTCAACTAATTTCCCCCTAGGGACAGTTGTCTTTTGGCACTCCAGAGAGCAATACTGTAGATAATTAAACTGATGGAAAATTCAGCATGTTGGTTAACTGATACTAGAGTAGAACTAGAAGGCATTATGCGAGTGGCGTAGTGGCTTGGTTTTGGTAATAAATTGTGAAGCCAAAAAGCTCCATGATTGTTATGACAGATGATTAACATGGATTGTTTCATCTTTTTTTTTAGGGAATCAGCAGTCTTCTGGGTTTCTTAGTCCAGAGGAGGCTCGGTGCGTGTACCCTGGGCATGGAAAAGTACAGAACAGAGCCCTTCTTGTCATCAACACAGAGACATAACAGACTCTTGGGCCTTAAATTTCTCAGAAAAAGCACTGAAACTGAAAGTCACAGATGAGAATTTCTGCATGTGTTTGAGTCATATTGACATCATCTCATAAGTTTTTATTCCTTTTGCATCAAATTCTCAAAAGAAGCTGTTTTTTAAAAGCTACTTCAGAAAAGAAAACATAACTTTTCTCCTGTTTCATAATCTAATTACATTGTAACAAAGTAAAGCCATCTTGAGATTTCACTACTGATAGAAATCAACATTAACACAAGCAGGATTTCCTTTCAACCAATCGCTGTCCAGTTGCTATGGAAACCATGTCTGCCGATCCGACCAACCAGATCCGCATCATCGAGTGGAACGACATGGACAAGCGGAAGTTTTACTCGTTCGGTTTGTTCCTTTCCATGACGATTCGCGTAACGGTCTACCCAACAACCCTCATCAAAACCAGACTACAGATACAGCGAGGAACTTCTCTGTATAACGGCACGTTCGATGCCTTTATGAAGATAACAAGACAAGAGGGTGCTAGAGGCCTGTATAAAGGCTTTCTGGTGAATAGTTTGTACTTGATATCAGGACAGATGTATATCACGACCTACGAGGTCAGCAGACAGCAGCTGTCAGGGTACAGCAACTGGATCAAGTCGCTCGTTGGCGGCGGAATGGCGTCGCTCGTCGGAATGAGCATCTCCGTTCCGATAGACGTCGTTTCGCAGCATTTGATGCTACAGGGACAGGGGAAAGACAGAAGGAAAAAGCTGCCGAAGGAACGAGTGACGTTTGGGAAAGCCCAGGCGGTGGTGATCGAACTGTTCCGACGCGACGGCATGGCGGGATTTTATCGTGGATTCTTCGCCTCCATGCTCACAACCATTCCAAACAGCGCTCTGTGGTGGCCATTCTACCATTTCTATGCTGGTTAGTCTTTTTTTTTATTTCCTTGTATGTTTCTTGTGACCATCAAAAGTACTAGTATTGTTATGGTTTGTCAGTATCATAGTGTATGTGTGTGTGTGTTTCCACAATGCAATTTCTGTATAATCTGCCAGAGGAAACTTATGGCTGAGGGGTTGAACTCTGCTATCTCTGATTGTTTTATACAAGCACCACACGGTAGTACATGTACAATTATACTGTTAAAGTATAAAGCTTAAAATTGACAGGAAATGAGGTAGCTCTTTTTGGTACCATTGACCTAACTTTCTTTCAGTGTTCCTTAGCATGTGGAATGAAATATGGAAGCACAAGTAAATACAAACAGATTTAGACTCACCAAAAACAAATCCTCAGTATATACTTCCTAACCGTTGATTGTCCTATTATTGTGTTGTTTTTCAGAACAACTGGCGTCTGTTGCCCCGTCGTACCTCCCCCATCTCATGCTGCAGGCTGTTGCCGGACCGCTGGCGGCTGCAACGGCAAACACTCTCACCAACCCCATGGACATTGTCAGGGCCAGGTTACAGGTGTGTTCCCCTGCTAACCAACCATCTTACCCAATCAGCAGCCCTCATGGGCCATGCATCATCTAATGAACAACCAATCAGGGAATCACATACTCTTTTGTTACCAACCATCTTACCCAATCAGCAGCCCTATGGGCCATACATCGTCTAACGAACAACCAATTAGGAAAGCACATACTTAAACATTATGCAAGTAAAGTACAAAGTCAACCAGTGGGTAATTTTCACATGGAAAAACGGGTTTTGCACTCAAAAACAAGACCTATCAAAGACCACATTTGATTGCTCACATAACAATGTTAGACATTTGGAATTAATAAACTACTTGAGCATCTCTTGGGAACTAAGCTCTATATTGTAAAAATTATTTAACACTTTTTTAACCAACTAACCTATATCTCTGGAGCAGCCTCTCCCCTTCACCAACTATTTTTCCTCTGTGCATTAATTGCTATATTGATACCAGGTTTAACTATAATGTATCTGTGAGTGTACAATGTACAAATGTATGAAATTGCATGTGTATCTGTGTGTCCATATGCTGTAAATTATCACTATAAACAAATGTGCATGTAGCATAGCTCTATATGCTCAATTACTACTTAGTACGGTGGAAGATTTCAAAGTCTTAACAAATCTCACTTGTATCTTACCTCAGGTTGAAGGTGGAAAGTCCATCGTGAAGAAGTTCAAACAGCTCTATGTGGAGGAAGGACTCTGGGGATTCTCCAAAGGACTGTCTGCACGAATCATTGGGTCCCTGCCGACTACATTCGTTATCGTTGTCGGCTACGAAACGCTGAAGAAACTGAGCCTACGGTCTGACCTAGTCCACACACGGCAGTGGTAGTATAATGCTGAGCACGTCGGCAGAACGTACTGTACCTGCGCGAAACCCATAATTTGTCAGACCTTCTCATAAAAGTTTGTATTTGCCTATATAAGGTTAACATCCAGTCTGTAGTTTCCAAATGTTATGTCAGAAAAGATATCCTCTGTAACAGGCAAAATTCTGATGCAATGGTGACCAAACATCCAATGAAAACCGTGAAAAATCAGGGTTTTGTGCAGGCGCTGCACGTTCTACCAACATGCTATAATGCTACAGGTTTACTTAGTAGTGTTGCACAATGGTTGATTTTTTGGCAAGGCCACAGGGGTGGAGCAGTTAGATTATTCAGACAAAGCAAATTTAATGGTGGAGATCCTCTGTTTTGGCCATGTATTCAGGCAATATGTTATGGTGTGCTTCAGTAATATGGAAGCATTGTATAGCTGAGCTGATCTAGTGCTTATGCTCTTTTATATTGTGGCTAGAGAGAGAACATCAAGAGAACATGTGTAGTAGAGACTCCAATCTGGTAGAATTAGCAACTCTTCTGAGATCACGACCGGAGTATCTGTCAACAAAGACTTAGATCTGGAGCTCTGCAATTCTACCAGATTGTAGCTTCTACCCTGGCATATTTTACATTTATGTCTATGTGCCATAACCTTTTGGTCATAGCGAACGATCATATATTGTACATAATGATACAGATTTTATTGGGTGCAGTTATAGAAAGAGGACCAAGCAGTAGCTTACGTACAGCTTAATGTGGGAATACAAAGAAGTTAGTTGCTACCAGAATTGCTATTTTCAAAAACAAGAGATTAATAAAAACATAAAATACACCTAAGATTTTATGTTCATTCAGTGCGCAATTCAGTTGATTTTTAGCATTTGGATCAGTATCTATAACTAATTAAAAAATAGTGTACATTCTTAACATGTATGTAATTGCAAGATGCCTAAATATGAACTTGTTTTGAGATTTAGAAAACTGATACATTGGATGATATGGTTGTTGCAGATAACAGTTAAAAACTGTCGGATTCAAGATGATGGTAATAAATTATTATTGGACTTTGATACAAAATAATTTACTACATGCTCAGGATTGTAGTTAAATCTTGTTTCTGACTTTTAGTCATTGAAATGTATAAAGCTAAGACATGTAGATACCTTTGTTGGAAATTCATATTGTGTAATATTTTAGTAAGAGTTTGTGAGCATTTGTTTTGACATGCTGAAATACTTTTATTTAGATTTTAATTGAAGAAAAAATGTACTTCTAACTGTCTAAAGCAGTGTAACTGAAAGGCACCAGGACACCTAACATTAATTCAAGGAGGTGGATATATATTGTTCTGCTCAGTCTGGTCCAATCCAAGCTGTGGACACATTATTAAGTAGTTCAGTACAGTTATCCCTAATGTGCCCTTGATTCTGATTGGTCAATTGTACTAGTATTACATTAGAACTGGTCCATGACCCCCTAGGTGTCTGTTCTCTCAAACTGATGATGGCGAGGCAAACAAAGAATTAGCTCCCTGTAAAGTTCCATGATGATAATGTTATTTTTAAATGTCAGGTTATGATTTTTTGGTCAGTACAATGTATTTTTATGTGTAGATGGCAGTTTTTGTTATTTCCCTGTTTTTCATTAACTTTGTGGTGTAATCTTTCAATGCGTAATAAATTAAAGGTATCAGATAATACCCTTTTATCATGTCTTTATGGAGTTATCTTTCAGTTAGGTTTCTAAATACTAGTAGATGAAGTCTACCTTACCTTAGACCATACATGAAGTCTAAATTTAGTCAATTTAAATATAGGAGTAGGAAGCCTGAAATGTATCTGCACTGCACATTTTCTGTTCATTCACTTTTATATATTTGGCCTCCACTTCAAAATATGTGCAATATTTCTCATTTCAATTGTAAAAAGGCCCAATCATCTAAAACACTATCTGAATACACTGTGGAAGTAAAACATTAATTGTTGTTCTCTTTGAAAAGGATAGATTTTTCATGTATCTTAGGATAAATCCCCATAGTTAAAGATTCAAAGAACTGTGGAAAGATGGAGCTGAGTTTAGTAGCAAGCCATGCTTCTTTCCACGGGTAGTAAACCTCCCTCTGGCGTGCTGCTCCCCCCCGTATGATCGCCATGGCGCAGTCCGCAGGTGAGGCACGTGGGAGATCCATGAGAAAGCCAAACGTCTATATGAGATAAAAATACCGTAAATCACAAATTTTTTTGCACTACTCATATTCGCAGTTTACGCGGTCACTTCTGTACCACAAACTTATTATTACCGTAAACAATTAATTTGCTTTCTTTTCCTGCACCTGCCACCACCTTGAATGTATAGTCCCGCAAAAAAGTCTATTTTTCTCAGACTGCGAACATTAAGTGATTTACAGTGTTTGTCAATCTTGCCCATCCTCATGCTGTCAACCTACTCTTGCATCATACCAAGAACTAGAATGACTTACCTTTTCAAATTTATCTGGTATTTCGGTGTCTACCAAACCGATGACGCAGTATGTGATGGAGACGTTGACGTCCTGCATTGCCAACTCCTGCCGCAAGGAGGAGAAAAACCCGTCCAAGGCAAACTTTGTGCCCGCGTAGAAGGTTGAAAAAACACTGGCGATCTTTCCTGTAGAACGGGACAAAGGAGAGGTAGTCCCTTGAAAATTTTGGTAGGATGTACTAGTAGTGCATTGTACCGGTTTGCTGGAACTAGTTCCATACTTAAAATGTTTAGGTTTAAGTAAAAAAAAAATGAACATCTGGAACTAGTTTCGAACTTCCAAAAAAATCATGTCACATTCCCCTTGTTGTTCTGAACCACCTGAAATGTTCAATAGTCAAAAATTTGTGCTGCAAAACATTGCCATTCAATGGGCATTGTCAAGTGCCCCCCTCCGTAAATTATGTGGCCACAGTTTTGCTCAGATGTGCCCCGCAAACAACATATCTTGCCTCTAAACCCAGATAGTGCAGTGCTCACTACAAAATTTTGCGGTTAAGATGCCCCATTTTCCATTTGGAAAAGTTAACTGAGGACTCCCATCCGCATTTTGTATATGCATGCCCTGGGTTTAGGTCTGGACTTACAAGACTTACCGGACATTGAACCAAGGATGACCAGGCTGCCGTTGGTCTTGTGTAGAAGCGGGAGTGCCAGTGAGGCCAGCCGGATGTAGCTGTAGTAGTTGTTTGTCACTTCAGCGTGCATGACGTCCATGTCACCGTCCCAGAATAAACTCGCTGTGCCGTTCTTTTTGATCGAGCTCAAGCTGGCATGGTTTATGACCAAATAGTCCAATTTACCTCCTTCGGAAACAAACAAAAACAAATACTAGAAATGTACCATTTGTAAAGCAAATGCATATATATATATATATATATATATATATATATGGTGACAGAAGTCTCAATCCCTCCTGCTATAAAATTGCAACATGATGTAACCCAACACTAGTTACCATGGTGACAGATATCTGGTTCAGGTCATTGACCTTATTTGCTTGGAGAAGAAGAGGAAGAAAAACAGAGCAAAAACAATATGTTTTCCATCTGGGAAGGTAGACATAATTAAAATGCGTGAAGTGTAGTTTTAAACCACACAAGATGGAAGCAATAATTTAAAACTAAAAGGATATCCTGAAAATTTGGTGCACAAACCAAACTTTTCCTTGGCAGTTTGGATGGTTCTCTCACAGTCTTCTGCTTTCCCCATGTCTCCTGCTACATAGATGGCCTCCTGGGCTCCCAGGTCCTTCATCTTAGCTACAACCTGGACAAATACAGGGTGGACCAGAAATAATGTCTCCTGCTACATAGATGGGCTCCGAGGTCCTTCATCTTAGCTACAACCTGGACAAATACAGGGCGGACCAGAAATAATGTACTCTTGCTACATAGATGGCCTCCTGGGCTCCCAGGTCCTTCATCTTAGCTACAACCTGGACAAATACAGGGTGGACCAGAAATAATGTCTCCTGCTACATAGATGGCCTCCTGGGCTCCCAGGTCCTTCATCTTAGCTACAACCTGGACAAATACAGGGTGGACCAGAAATAATGTCTCCTGCTACATACTACAGTACACATGGTGGTAACATAGAGTACGGGCACATTCAGGCTTGAGAAGCTGAGAAACAACTCCACAAATCAGTTATCTAAAACTATACTTCCGCTGAAGGAAGCAAACAAGCCACTACAAGTATTACCCCTATAGCTACCTTCTTCAGTCTCCCCTCTCGCCTTGCCGTGATGATAACCCTGGCTCCAAACCTGGCGTAGTGGTACGCCATCTGTTCGCCGATACCGGAACTGCAGCCGGTTACCACAACCCTGGCTCCTCTCAGAGATTCTAAAAAAAAAAACATGACCAACAAACAGTTTTTGCTGCTTAAACAGATGAAATGAACGTTAAAACTGGTCAAATATAATTACACACGATGATGACACCTTGAATTTGCGGTCATCTTGTACGGTTGAGTGCTTAGAGTTCTGTGTCTTGTATGTTTGTGTGGGCATATGTACACGTGCATATTTGTGTGTGTGTTTGTGCATGTGGATATATTGAATTACTTTTATTGTTTAACAGGGGCCACACACAGTGGGTGAATTGTGCATCAGGCATATACAAGATATTTACAAACAAACTAAGTACTTTGGCCACAAAACCACAAGGTTGCTGCTACATGTATATATATATATATAAATCAATGTATAAAATCTTACCTGGATCGAACGCCGGTTTATACCAGATGTACCCCACTAGTACGGCTAAGAGAAGAGCTACAGTCCACCCTAGTTTCCCCATATTCTACCACAGGAACAGTATTAACCGATGGATGGCTTGGATTGGGACGAAATCTTTCTCTTTTGACCTATTCCTGAGGTCGAAGGTCGTTAGAGATTGTTGATAACAGGTGTTTGTGTCGTCTTTTGTTTGTTAGAACTTTGGACCTTGCAAATTAAGTTGGCCTGGGTGAATTCAAGTCAGCTACAGTTTAGGATCTAAAATTCATTCCATTTATTTGGTTTATTTTTGTAGTTCTAAATCTGTTAGAAGATAACAGATTTAGAATTACAAAAATAAACCAAACTAGAAAGGCCAATATTTGCTTTGGAGCAAATACAGCGATGGGTTCACCACATTTTAAGACATGGCAGGGAAAGAATGGGAAACACAAGGGAAAACAATGATTTACATTGATATAACTATAATATGAAGTAAAATACAACTAAAACAACAGTTGGATAGCTATTCCCTACTTTATTGGTTAGGATTTTTAATTGCATAATGCAAACTGTTGATTTTCAAAATAAAAAAAAACGTCCATGCCCGGCATTCCAATGCTGGAGCAGGAAAGCTTGAAATACCTACCAAAACACTTGAATACAGACATACTGTCAGTATGGAAATGCTTCTGTGCAGGTGTTAATCAAGTTAAATCCCAACAGCCAATCAGCAAGAAGTATAGAGGAAAGCTGCATGCCTATTGGTTGATGCCCTGCATTCCATTCTGATGACTCATGCCCAAACGTGGTAAACAAGGCAGACTAACACAGTAATACATTTGCTATAACACAGCCAAAAAACTCAAATAAAACCATTCTAAAAGCCTGTATCACAATAATTTAAAAAACGCCTAGGGGTATTTGCCCACTGTACCTCCATACCA